TGAACTCCCTTGAAACTCTGTGCCTTGATCGGTGAGCACCTCTGCACACCGCCCCAAAATCTGCATATTACTTGCTCCTTGAATGCTGCTGCCACATGTCCTTGAGCTCTTGCTGGGGATAGCCCTCACCTCCAGCCACTTGCTCACGTGCTCCACCATGAGCACTATGTACCGTTTCCCCCCCCGGCTCAGCGGCAGTTCCCCCGCCAGGTCCAAGGACCATCTGAAGCCTAACCCACGGATGGGCAGGGACTGCGCTCAGCCTTGGCTTGGGTCAGGTTTGCTCAGCCTCCTTTGGCAGGCCTCGACATCCCTCCACCCATTTCTGCACCTGCCTGCGCATTCCCTCCCACACCAAGCCCGGCTTCAACACTGCAACTGTCCTCTCATGCCCGAAGTGCCCCAGCCTTGAGTGCACCTCCTTTATCACTGCTTCCCTGTCACCTGGGGTCCGGCACCAGCTTCCACCCACCCTCGGTCTGTATCTGCAACTGCTGCTGGTACCACCTGTAGTGGTGCCTCCCTTGCTCTCACACCTCTCGCTCATCTCCTCGTCTGCCCCTGTCTCTCCCTTCAAACCCATCTCACAGCCTGCTCATCCTCCCAGATATCAGCCGGGCCCCTTGCTTCTCCTGGCCCCGCTCAGCTCCACCTGTCTGGCCAGCAGCGCAAGGGTCACTACTGGCTCTAGCGGTGGGGGGTTACGGGAGAGGCCGTCCACATGCTGCAAGGTTTTTTCCTGGCCTGTGGCTTGATTTTGGAACTCATACTCCTGCAGCTTCATTGCCCATCGTGCATTCCTGCCTGTTAACCCTGGTGTCGGTCATCAGCCATGTCAGTGGCTGGTGGTCCGTCACCAGGGTGAACTCCCGCCCCTGCAAGTAGACCCTGAAGTGCCCCACAGCCCATACTGCCGCTAGTCCCTCCCCTGTGTACGAGCTGTAACTGTGCCTCCGCCGAGTTGCAGCTCCTACTCGCGTAGGCCCACCACCTGCTCATCCCCTTCCACCTCCTGGCAGAGTATCCCGCCCATCCCTTGGCTGCTCCAGTCGTGTAGAGGGTGAAGGGTTGTCCGCTGCTGGCAGCTGCAAGACGGTTGCCGTTTTCCAACCGCCGCCATCAGGTCCTGCAATGCCCCCTTCTGCGCTTCCCCCCCACTCCCATGTCCTGTCCTCCCTTAACAGTCCGTTCAACACCGCTGCCCGCCTGCTGAAGTTGGGCACAAATCGCCGGTAGTAACTCAGAAACCCCAACACCGCTCTCAGCCCTGTCTTGTCCTTTGGTTCTCGCAGCCTATCCAGCACCTCCACCTTTGCTTGCTGGATCCCGATCTGCCCCCCTTTCACCTCGTAGCCCAGATACTGAACGGTCTGCTCACCCCACCTACACTTCTTCGGGTGACACGTGCGTCCCGCTGCTTCTATTGCTGCCAGTGTCTTCTCCACATCTTGCAGGTGCTGCTGTTCGGAGGTGCTGAAGATCACCACGTCATCTATGTAGCACGCTGCACATTCTACGTCCCTCAGCACTGCATCCATGACTCTCTGAAACAATGCTGATGCGTTCCTCAGCCCGAATGGCATGTAAAGCCACTCGTACAGCCCATCCGGCCCGTGAAATGCCGTCTTCCTAACGTCCTCCTCCCTGATTTTTATCTGATTGAACCCCTGCCGCAGGTCCAGTGTCGTGAAGAACACCCCCTCTGCTAACTTGTCAAATATCTCCTCCGCCATCGGCATTGGGTACCTGTCCGCCACGGTAATCTTGTTGAGCGCTCGGTAATCTCCGCACATCCTCCTGCTCAGGATCTCTCCTGTTAAGTCCTTCCTCGCTGCCACCACTGTTGGTGTGGCGTATTCTGATTCTGAGCGCCGGATCAGTCCGGCCGCCAACAGCTCCTTAATCTTCTCCTTGCATATCTCTTCATCTCCGTGCGGCATCTTCCTACGCCGTTGGAACACCGGCTCCGTGCTGCTCAGTTTCAGCTCCATCTCCTTCATTTTGCACCTTCCCAGTTCTTGCAGTGTGAAGGCAAAGCACTTCCTGTGCTTGGCCAGCAGTCCCCGCATAGCTTCTCTTCCCTCTTCACTCATCGCTTCCCCCACTGTCCACTTCTCTCCCCTCCTCCTCCTGGCAGGTCCATGCTCCTTGTGGGGCTGCTGCTGCCGCCACCTTATCTGCCTCTTGCCCCCCACCCAAGACCATCTCTCGCCACATCCTCTGCACCAGCCACCTCATCATGTAGCCATCCATGGCATTCCCCATTGCCCTCCTCCTGTCTTCCTCGCTCACCCCTGGTGCTGCCGTCACGTTTTCTCCATATCCCATAGCCAGCTCCTCTCTAATGCCGTCGGTTCCTCCCACCGTCCCCGCTTGTGGTCATATATCAGCCCGGGTCCGGGCTCCCCCTTTTCCCACCTGTAGCCTGCTGCCTCTGCAAAAGCAACCAAGGTGGGCAGAGCCCTCCTGTCCTGCCCCACCTGGTTGCACGGGTAGTGCCTGCTGTAACTTCTTTGACAAACTGGCGCGGGAGTCCGTCCCGGCTCCAGGATGTCCACCACCCTCCTCCCTGTAGCCCTCCTCATCCCCTCTGCTTCCTCCTGCAGATCCAGCACAGGAACCACGTTTTGCCAGTACATCCTGAGGCGGTGAGCGTACAACCCTGCCCTGGCTGCATCACAGCTCATCCCTTTTCCCACGTGCCGGCCAATCCTCTCCCTCACCAGCCGAATCGGCTCTCTACAATCCCCTTCTAGATCCAGGTTCTCCAGCAAGTAGGCCACTCTGCCCTGCCTCTCCTGCAGCCACTCCAGGATATCGAACAGGTTGTCCATCAGCTTCGTCCTCGGGTCCTCCCCTCCCTTCCCTTTTCCCGCCCATGACACCCCTTGACACTCCCATCCTGCCACCAGCAGGTCCACCTGCCCCCAGCTGGCCACCTGCTCCTCTGTGATCTGACTCACATCGTGCACCGTACTGCTCATGGCTTCCTGAATTACTTTCTCACTCAGGAGATCCGGGAACTCAGCTCTCAGCTTCCGCGCGTGATGCTCAGCCATCCTTCTCACCTGTGGTGCCAGTTCGACATAGACCCACTGCTGCACAGCAATCCCACTCCTCACTGCTGCCGCCAGCCCTGCCCCGATTCCTCCGAACAACTCTACTAGCCGGATGGGCTACTGCCAATCGCTATACTGCCCCGGCTTGTCCATTAGTTTCATCCTGGGCCCCTCCCTGGTCTCTGCTGCTCCTCTCTGCCCCCTTTGTGCCCCTCCTGCTCCGACCTGATAGGCCCGCTTCGGCTCCACCCTTACAAACTGCACTGGCAGCTGCCCCAATGGTCCCTCCTTCTTCCAGTATCTCGTTCGGAACTCCACCTTCTCCATCCAGGTACATATGCTCATGCCTACAGCGAACACCAATTCCGTTCCCATCAGCAGATCAAAGTCCTCGGACTCCGAGATTCCGCACTTCATCCTGATCCTTGTTTCATGCTCCCCTCCTGGCAGCAGTGTCAACTCTATGGGGGTCCGGGTGCACGGCATCCACTTTGGTTCCCCTCCCTCTGCTGTCATGACTAACATCCCCTTCGCCACGTGCCTCTCAGGGGCCATCAGCCCCAACCGTTTCGGCCATCCCCTTACCCAGCATCACGCTCTGTGCTCCTGTGTCAATGATCGCCGTCTTTACCTTCACCCCCCCCACTTCCACCGCTCCTGCTTCCACGAGCAGCACCGAGGTCTGGCACGCGAGTCTTTCCTGCGGGTGGCGGGCTGGGGTCTTCTCTCCTCGTGGCGCGTCTGGCCTGGACCCCTGCTCACGTGGCTTCCGGCTATGCTCCTGCCTGCCATCCTCCCCCCCGCTACGCAGCCCCATCTGTTCCCTGCCTCTCCAGGCCATGAGGGCACACTGCACGTCCGGCTCCACCCCTTCTCCCTCCTCGTCCCTGGCGTACATCCCCGCCTCCGCTCCCCACCCTGACCCCATGGCCTGCAGTTGAGACTGCAGCCTGCTGATCTGCCGCTGCAGCTCCTCTGGTTTCCTCCTTGTCCCTCCCTCCCACTGGTAACACTCCTTGGCCTCGTGCCCCTTCTTCCCGCAGATTTCACACTTCGCCGCATCCGGACATTCTTGTTTCCGGTGCCCAGGCTTCCCACATCCATCACAGTTTTTGCACTCTCTGCGGAGGTGCCCCATCTGTCCACACCGGTAGCAGGTGCGCGCGTCGGCTCTCTCTTCCCCGTGTGGGTCCACCCTCCCTCGCTCCTCTGGTATCATAGCCGCCGCCCATGTCGGTCTGCGGCTCTTCTCTGTCGGCCTCGGCAGGTAGACCTCATACCTCCTTTGTGCCAGCTCCACCCTTTCCGCCAGGTCAAACACCTCCTCTAGTGCCGCATCCGCCCCTAACTCGTACACCTTCATCCTCAGTCCTCCCCCCAGTGTTTCGTCCAGGCCTCCAAGAAACTTACTGATGAGGAGGCTGCTGTCCGAACATTTCACATCCTCCGCCAAGTTTATCAGTCGGTTGTAGTAGGTCAGTAGGGATTCTGTTCGTCCCCTCCTGAACTCCTGAAACTCCCTTACGCGCTCCGCCGTGTGTCCCGGGAATTGACGCTGAAGCCGCTCCAGAAATGCCTCGGTGGGATCCTCCCCGTACCTCCCTGCCCTCCACAGCAGCTCGTCCATCCTCATGCGGTACAGGGTCTCCGCCTCTCCCTCCAGAGTGTTGGGCAGGCTCAAGAAGAAGTCTACTGGGTCCATGCCTTGCCTGTCACAGCGGTATCTCACGTTCCCCACCTGCATCAAGTAATTCTTGAGGGCTGGCCCCACCCTTTGGTCCCCCGAGAACCTCGCCGGCACTTCCACCCGCGTCGCGCTGGCTGTACTTCCCCACCCTTCTCCCCGCGATTCCCTGGCCCCTCCCAGCCGCTCTTCCCCGATCCTTCTCTCCTTGGCCCTCTCCATGCCTTCCCTGGCCTCTCGGGCCCGCTCAGCGCCATATGCTAAGCTCCCCCCTCCAGCTCTGCTCTCCCGCCGATTCCAGCCCGAGTCACCGTGCCTTTCTCTCGGGCCCCTCTCCTCCCACGCACGCCCTCGCGTTCGTGCCGGCGAGACTCGTGTCTCTCTCCATCTCGCCGTGCTCGTCTCTCGCTGCCGCTGCTTCTCTGGCGACGGTTCCCATGCTTCTCCCCTTCCTTGCTGCCGACGATCTCCGGGCGAGCGCCTGTCTCCGCCGCCTTCTCTTCCCCGCTGCTGCCGGGCGAGAGGCGAGCGGAACCCGCTGCTCACCCTCCTTTCCCATTGCGCTTGCGGGCCTGACGTCCGTGCCTCCCCGCCGCGCCCTTCTTGCCGCTGGCCGCGCCTCTCTGATGAGCTGGGCCCCTCCTCGCGTCCTTCTTCCCGCCGCCAGTGGTGGCTGGCTGCGCGTGGCTCGCCCTCCCATCCTCCCTTATGCATCAGCTGCCTGTCCGGCGATCGTTCGCCGTCTTCGCCCCGGCCCCCTTGAGCCTGGCGCCAGTCGAGTGCGCGGGGGTCAACAGAAGGCCGCTCCCGGCGCCGCGATCCTTCCCCTGACGCGCGCGGTCCCTCTTCCTCCCTTTTGCCGCGTTCTCCTTGCGTCCCCACAGCGCCGGCATGCACGCCCCAGTCCCGCCGCTCCTGCTGACGTGACCTCTCCGCGTAATGCTCCTCCTGGCGGCTTGCGTCGCGGTCGCGTGATTCCGACCGTCCCGACCGCGATCCTTCTGCCCCTGCCTGGCTTGCACCCCCGGCAACGTCCGCCTCTTCCGGCTCGGCGTTTCCGATCCCAGCCGCGGGTTCCTCGCCGTCATCTTCTCCGTCGGCGTCTTCGACCGCCCGTTCCAGGTTCGCTGCGTCCTCCTCTGCCTCTTCCTCTTCTGCGGCCTCCCCTCCTCGGTTGGCGTCGAATCGCTCGACGCCCGGCCAACGGCCCCTCTCATCACGGCGGCGCCCGTGCTCTTCCGGCGAGCGGAACACTCCCACAGCGCGTCGGTCTCCGCTCCCGTATCCATCTCCGCGATCATGCCCTCTTCGCCACACGTCGCCGTCCGCGCTTGCGGCGTCTCCTTCTCCACCCGCTGCCACGCTAGGCCTCCCTTCCACCCGTCGGTCCCCAGCGACGGGGACTCTATCTGCGCGAAATGCCAGCCTTCGCGGCGAGCGCTCCAGAGATCACCCGCGCTCGCGTGACGGCTCACCTCGTGCTCGTTCCTCCTCCCGGCGACTAAACACCCTACCCCAACGTAGCTCATATTTATCCATGCCAGCGACTCGATCCTATTGTTCGGTATGTGTGTGATCACTCCCTCACCGCACCGGTTCCTTCTTAGTGCTGTGCCACCGCGTGTAGTAGCTAGGATAGCCGCTCTGCACTAGTATGAAAGAATACCGAACAATAGGCATCGAGTGAGTGGGCGTGGGTGACCTTACCCAACCTCGGCTTGCACATTTCCAATGTGCGGCTCGAGGTTGGGATTTGTTCGAATCCCACATTTCGCCCTTCGGTGCTTTTCCCCCTTCATCCCAACCGCTCCCACATATTTCCCCCTTTCTGCACCCCTTTGCAACCGACACTTCGCTACTGGCTACACCTCCTACACTACTTCTTATCTATCTACCTCAATGCATTCTTAGCTATTTGCTATACTACTTCACAGCACCGCACTCTACTGTTATTGCATATGCATCCCTTGCATATGCGGTGACAATGCTTGGGTCCGGACGCATGCTTGTGTCCGGACGCATGCTTGTGTCCGGACGCATGCTTGTGTCCGGTCGCATGCTTGTGTCCGGACGCATGCTTGTGTCCGGACGCATGCTTGTGTCCGGACGCATGCTTGTGTCCAGACGCAAGCTTGTGTCCGGACGCATGCTTGTGTCCAGTCGCATGCTTGTGTCCGACCGCATGCTTGAGTCCGGTCGCATGCTTGTGTCCGGACGCATGCTTGTGTCCGGACGCATGCTTGTGTCCGGACGCATGCTTGTGTCCGGTCGCATGCTTGTGTCCGGACGCATGCTTGTGTCCGGACGCATGCTTGTGTCCGGACGCATGCTTGTGTCCGGACGGATGCTTGTGTCCGGTAGCATGATTCTGTCCGAGCGGATGCTTGAGTAGGGTCGCATGGTTGTGTCCGGACGGATGCTTGTGTCCGGACGCATGCTTGTGTCCGGTCGCATGCTTGTGTCCGGTCGCATGCTTGTGTCCGGACGCATGCTTGAGTCCAGTCGCATGCTTGTGTCCGGACGCATGCTTGTGTCCGGACGCATGCTTGAGTCCGGTCGCATGCTTGTGTCCGGACGCATGCTTGTGTCCGGACGCATGCTTGTGTCCGGACGCATGCTTGTGTACGGACGCATGCTTGTGTACGGACGCATGCTTGTGTCCGGACGCATGCTTGTGTCCTGACGCATGCTTGTGTCCGGAGGCATGCTTGTGTCCGGACGCATGCTTGTGTCCAGACGCATGCTTGTGTACGGACGCATGCTTGTGTCCGGACGCATGCTTGTGTCCGGACGCATGCTTGTGTCCGGACGCATGCTTGTGTCCGGACGCATGCTTGTGTCCGGACGCATGCTTGTGTCCGGACGCATGCTTGTGTCCGGTCGCATGCTTGTGTCTGGACGCATGCTTGTGTCCGGTCGCATGCTTTTGTCCGACCGCATGCTTGAGTCCGGACGCATGCTTGTGTCCGGCCGCATGCTTGTGTCCGGACGCAAGCTTGTGTCCGGACGCATGCTTGTGTCCGGACGCATGCTTGTGTCCGGACGCATGCTTGAGTCCGGTCGCATGCTTGTGTCCGGACGCATGCTTGTGTCCGGATGCATGCTTGTGTCCGGACGCATGCTTGTGTCCGGACGCATGCTTGTGTCCGAACGCATGCTTGTGTCCGGTCGCATGCTTGTGTCCGGACGCATGCTTGTGTCCGGACGCATGCTTGTGTCCGGACGCATGCTTGTGTCCGAATGGATGCTTGTGTCCGGTAGCATGATTGTGTCCGAGCGGATGCTTGAGTAGGGTCGCATGGTTGTGTCCGGACGGATGCTTGTGTCCGGACGCATGCTTGTGTCTGGTCGCATGCTTGAATCCGGACGCATGCTTGAGTCCGGTCGCATGCTTGTGTCCGGATGCATGCTTGTGTCCGGACGCATGCTTGTGTCCGGACGCATGCTTGAGTCCGGTCGCATGCTTGTGTCCGGACGCATGCTTGTGTCCGGACGCATGCTTGTGTCCGGACGCATGCTTGTGTCCGGACGCATGCTTGTGTCCGGACGCATGCTTGAGTCCGGACGCATGATAATGTCCGGACGCATGCTTGTGTCCGGACGCATGCTTGTGTCCGGACGCATGCTTGAGTCCGGTTGCATGCTTGTGTCCGGACGCATGCTTGTGTCCGGACGCATGCTTGAGTCCGGTCGCATGCTTGTATCCGGACGCATGCTTGTGTCCGGAAGCATGCTTGTGTCCGGACGCATGCTTGTGTCCGGACGCATGCTTGTGTCCGGTCGCATGCTTGTGTCTGGACGCATGCTTGTGTCCGGACGCATGCTTGAGTCCCGATGCATGCTTGTGTCCGGACGCATGCTTGTGTCCGGACGCATGCTTGTGTCCGGACGCATGCTTGTGTCCGGACGCATGCTTGTGTCCGGTCGCATGCTTGTGTCCGACCGCATGCTTGAGTCCGGTCGCATGCTTGTGTCCGGACGCATGCTTGTGTCCGGACGCATGCTTGAGTCCGGACGCATGCTTGTGTCCGGACGCATGCTTGTGTCCGGACGGATGCTTGTGTCCGGTAGCATGATTGTGTCCGAGCGGATGCTTGAGTAGGGTCGCATGGTTGTGTCCGGACGGATGCTTGTGTCCGGACGCATGCTTGTGTCCGGTCGCATGCTTGTGTCCGGACGCATGCTTGAGTCCGGTCGCATGCTTGTGTCCGGATGCATGCTTGTGTCCGGACGCATGCTTGTGTCCGGACGCATGCTTGAGTCCGGTCGCATGCTTGTGTCCGGACGCATGCTTGTGTCCGGACGCATGCTTGTGTCCGGACGCATGCTTGTGTCCGGACGCATGCTTGAGTCCGGACGCATGCTTGTGTCCGGACGCATGCTTGTGTCCGGACGCATGCTTGTGTCCGGACGCATGCTTGAGTCCGGTTGCATGCTTGTGTCCGGACGCATGCTTGTGTCCGGACGCATGCTTGAGTCCGGTCGCATGCTTGTATTTGGACGCATGCTTGTGTCCGGACGCATGCTTGTGTCCGGACGCATGCTTGTGTCCGGACGCATGCTTGTGTCCGGACGCATGCTTGTGTCCGGACGCATGCTTGAGTCCGGACGCATGCTTGAGTCCGGACGCATGCTTGTGTCCGGACGCATGCTTGTATCCGGACGCATGCTTGTGTCCGGACGCATGCTTGAGTCCGGTCGCATGCTTGAGTCTGGTCGCATGCTTGTGTCCGGACGCATGCTTGTGTCCGGACGCATGCTTGTGTCCGGACGCATGCTTGTGTCCGGACGCATGCTTGTGTCCGGACGCATGCTTGTGTCCGGTCGCATGCTTGTGTCCGGACGCATGCTTGTGTCCGGTCGCATGCTTGTGTCCGGACGCATGCTTGTGTCCGGTCGCATGCTTGTGTCCGACCGCATGCTTGAGTCCGGTCGCATGCTTGTGTCCGGACGCATGCTTGTGTCCGGACGCATGCTTGTGTCCGGTCGCATGCTTGTGTCCGGACGCATGCTTGAGTCCGGTCGCATGCTTGTGTCCGGACGCATGCTTGTGTCCGGACGCATGCTTGTGTCCGGACGCATGCTTGTGTCCGGACGCATGCTTGTGTCCGGACGCATGCTTGTGTCCGACGCATGCTTGTGTCCGGACGCATGCTTGTGTCCGGACGCATGCTTGTGCCCGGTCGCATGCTTGTGTCCGGTCGCATGCTTGTGTCCGGACGCATGCTTGTGTCCGGTCGCATGCTTGTGTCCGGACGCATGCTTGTGTCCGGACGCATGCTTGTGTCCGGACGCATGCTTGTGTCCGGTCGCATGCTTGTGTCCGACCGCATGCTTGAGTCCGGTCGCATGCTTGTGTCCGGACGCATGCTTGTGTCCGGACGCATGCTTGTGTCCGGTCGCATGCTTGTGTCCGGGCGCATGCTTGAGTCCGGTCGCATGCTTGTGTCTCGACGCATGCTTGTGTCCGGACGCATGCTTGTGTCCGGACGCATGCTTGTGTCCGGACGCATGCTTGTGTCCGGACGCATGCTTGTGTCCGGACGCATGCTTGTGTCCGGACGCATGCTTGTGTCCGGACGCATGCTTGTGTCCGGACGCATGCTTGTGTCCGGTCGCATGCTTGTGTCCGGACGCATGCTTGTGTCCGGACGCATGCGTGTGTCCGGACGCATGCTTGTGTCCGGACGCATGCTTGTGCCCGGTCGCATGCTTGTGTCCGGACGCATGCTTGTGTCCGGTCGCATGCTTGTGTCCGGACGCATGCTTGTGTCCGGACGCATGCTTGTGTCCGGACGCATGCTTGCGTCCGGACGCATGCTTGTGTCCAGACGCATGCTTGTGTCCGGACGCATGCTTGTGTCCGGTCGCATGCTTGTGTCCGGACGCATGCTTGAGTCCGGACGCATGCTTGTGTCCGAATGCATGCTTGTGTCCGGATGCATGCTTGAGTCCGGTCGCATGCTTGTGTCCGGACGCATGCTTGTGTCCGGACGCATGCTTGTGTCCGGACGCATGCTTGTGTCCGGACGCATGCTTGTGTCCGGACGCATGCTTGTGTCCGGACGCATGCTTGTGTCCGGACGCATGCTTGTGTCCGGACGCATGCTTGTGACTGAACGCATGCTTGAGTCCGGTCGCATACTCGTGTCCGGACGCATGCTCGTGTCCGGACGCATGCTTGTGTCCGCATGCATGCTTGTGTCCAGACGCATGCTTGAGTCCGGTCGCATGCTTGTGTCCGGACGCATGCTTGTGTTCGGACGCATGCTTGTGTCCGGACGCATGCTTGTGTCCGGACGCATGCTTGTGTCCGGAGGCATGCTTGTGTCCGGACGCATGCTTGTGTCCCGTCGCATGCTTGAGTCCGGTCGCATGCTCGTGTCCGGACGCATGCTCGTGTCCGGACGCATGCTTGTGTTCGGACGCATGCTTGTGTCCGGACGCATGCTTGTGTCCGGTCGCATGCTTGTGTCTGAACGCATGCTTGAGACCGGTCGCATGC